TAGAGGTGAGCTGCAGGCTTTCCCCGACCGCGGTCCGGAGGTGCGCCGATACCTTCCCCGCCTCCCACCCCCCGGGTTCCTGGGGCGGGGGTGGGGGCTCAGTGTGGGCGTCTCGCACTCGCGCTGCGTTAGAAGTTAACACTGGCCGTGGGCTCCGGAGACCCGGGACCTCGAACCCGGCGCCCTCAACCATCCAGGACGTGCGCGTCCCGGGGCGGGTTGGATGACAGGGTGGCTTGGGAGAGGGGAGAGTGTGCGCATTTGTCCCTGATGTCACGTAACTTCCAACTCTGGATGGAGTCCGCTCCTAACTTTCCCTGCCCTCACTCCCACCCCACCCCTGGCACCGTAACCGATATTAGACGCAGGGGATTCAGCCAACCCTCACAGGATCTGAAAAACAGGAAACCCCCAAATACCGGTACGGCCCGGGACTCGTTAACTAGGCCTGGCGGGTGCGATCGTTTATAGTACCCCAAATCTTCCCTTCCTTCCAACCTCTTCCGTGCCCAAGTGGGCGCCCCGAGAGTCTTTGGTCTTCCGTTGCGATTTAAGAACATGAGCCGCCCCAGGCCTGTCCAGCTCCGGTTTACGGAGTGCTTCTCCCAGAGGCCCGGAGGCTGGCATGGGATTACTTTCATTTACCTCCGTTGGTAAATTACTCCGGATTGAAGTTCTCGGGGTGTAGGGGTGGGACTCAATCTCCCAGGCTGGGAGGAGGCCGGGGACCTGTCCCGGAGGGCGGGTGCGGCGGGGGATGGCTGGGGTTTAAGCGGGCGGGGAGAACAGCGGGGCCCTGGTCCAGGTGCTTTGCAGCCTGGCGCCTTTGCGGAATTGGGGGCCAGGACCTGCGGGAGTACGAGCGCTGTCCGCGGGTAACCTGATGCTCTTCCTCTCCTAGAGCCCAAGCCCTGTTGCGGAGCTCCCGGCGGCCTGGCCCGGAGGCGCTGCAGCTGCGCCTCGCGTCCCTGTCCGCCCGCACCATGAACACCATCGTCTTCAACAAGCTCAGCGGCGCCGTGCTTTTTGAGGACGGAGGCGCTCCGGAGCGGGATCGGGGCGGCCGGCCCTACGGCAGCGTTCTGGACAGTCCCCACGTCCGCCCCGAGGTGGGCATTCCCGACGGCCCGCCCCTCAAGGACAACCTCGGCCTGCGACACCGGAGGACCGGGTATGCGCACGCTCCTGGGGGCCCTGCCTCCCGGGGGGCCTGCAGCACGCAGGGTGGTGGCGGCGAGTGGCCTGCGGGTGGGGCGCGTGGGGTTGCCTCCGAGGGCAGGGCAGCGCCTCCTGGACTGGCACGTTCCCATTTTGAGGGATTAGTTTCTCAGAACACGATGGGTCGATTCATCAGGACAGCTCAGAAGAGGCTTGCTGGAAAATGAGGACGCTGGGAGCTGCCCCTCAGTCCTGCACCGCCTGGACCTCAGGGGAGCAGGTTCCTTGCCCCTCTTGGGTCCGCCGACTCAGAAGGATGGGGCGGGATGCACAGGACCAGGACAGGGCCAAGCAGTTGGGGATTCCCATGTCAGACCCCTCTGTCCCCACTGGCCCTTGCCACTGCCTCACGGACCCCCGGCCTCGGACTGGCGGTTGGGGCTGTCGGTTTCCGCAGGGCGTCCTGGGGGCGCGCACCGCGCGGCGGGACTGGCTGCGAGCCAGGGAGTGGGGGGGGCAGGCCTCCTGGGCTGGCTTTTGGTCTCACCGGGCGAGGAGGCGCCTGGCGGCCGGGAGCTCGCGGGTGGGCCGGGCGTGGAGGGCAATGTGGGTCCCACCAGGTCCTGGCGACTCCCCGCGTGTTCCGCGGGGGGGAGGGGCGGCCGTCCTGGCCACCTCCACCTGGACAATTGCATCAGCTGCTTGTAATGCGGCGTCGCTAGTTAGTAAAATAGAGATTAGGTTTCGTCAAAATACTAGTACCAGTCGGTTCGGATGGGATTGCATTTCAAAGTGTTTAAAGAGGCCGAAGCCCGGGAGGCTGCAGCGCAGGCGTGAGAGCCTCCCCAGCAGCCCGCGGCCGCGCGGCGACACCTCTCGGAGCCGCCCGGGAACGCAGCGCCCAGCGCGGGGCTCCCGGCTCCGGGCCTGCTCCTGCCGCAGCCTCCTTCCTTCGAGAATGCTTCTCTGGCGCCCTTTCTACGTTACCCGGTGGGACTTCGATTTCCATACTTCCAGCTCCCCTTAGGCCGGAAACGGCCCCGGCGGTCTTTCGGGTCCTGTAGCTTTCCTCCACAACCCCTCTTCCGCAAGCTCCCCCCCCCCTTTTCCAGAGGATCAAAGGAGGTAGGAGTGAGTCCGGAGAGCGCCCGTGTTCCCCTCCGTTGCTTTATTCACTCTGTGCAGTGGGCGACCTTCCCCTACCCGGAGGACGAGAAGCGGGAAGCAGCGGGGCGGTCCTGGAGGAGTGTTTGGGAGCCGGCTGCAGACCCCTCCCGGCCGGCTACGCCAGGGCCACGGGAGGACGCGGTGCCGGCCGACGAGGGAAGGGTGGCAGCCCCGCTACCCAGATCTGCAGCTTGCACGACAGGTTTCTTCAAACCGCTTAAGCACCGTGTCCAAAACCCCTAGCCTTAGGTCACAGGGTTTAGGGTCCCCCTTTCCAGATCAATCTAGCGTCTTGCATCGTCGTGGGGCTCCCTGCGGAGCCGACTGGATGCCGTGGGGTGCGAGGCGGGGCTCCGCAGCGGAGTGTGGGACCGCCCCGGTGGCCCCCTGCAGGACGGTGCTCACCAGGTCTCCTCTCCCCGCGTCCCAGGGCCCGGCAGAATGGCGGGAAGGTGCGGCACAAACGGCAGGCGCTGCAAGACATGGCGCGGCCCCTCAAGCAGTGGCTTTACAAGCACCGCGACAATCCGTATCCCACCAAGACCGAGAAGATTCTCTTGGCCCTCGGGTCGCAGATGACGCTAGTGCAGGTAATCGGGTAGGACCCATCAAGTCCCACATCCATGCACCAGCGAGCGGCAAAGGAGTGGCGCCCTTGTGTGTGTGCCTTTTTCCCGTGGCGCCCCTCCCTGGGCAGGGACCGAGAGGAGCCATAAGAGGGGCGTCCACACAGCCTGGCTCCCGCGGCGGAGGACGATGTCGGTTGGCACAGGTGCAGAGGTCTTCTGTGGTGGCAGAGCAGTTTCTGAGTTTCTCCTCAGCCTTCTCTGTCAGTTCAGTGCAGACGCGCAGTCCAGGAGGGGATGCGTGGAAGGGTGGGAGGTGACAAGTCCACCACCGAGTATGAGATGAAGAAGTGGAGAATGGGGGGACTCCTTCGCCCTTTGTGGGCAAATACAGAGGATACCACCCACCCGCAGTTCATTTTCAGACTCTAGGGCAGATCCGAATCGCCTTGAGGCTGATTGAACTACAGATTGAGAGAGTTTCTGATTCCATAGGTCCTGGGCTGGCCGAAAGTTTCGCTTTACTTACAAATTCCCAGGTGAGGTTGAAGCTGCTGGCTCTGGACCCACTTTGAGACCCATACAACAGGATATACTCCATAGGAAGATCCTATATGAAAGTTCAAGTGCTGGGTGACTTTCAAAATGACCATTAGGAACAGCTAGGAATAGTGGGTACCAAGGCAGTAAGTGACTTGGACGTGTTTTCTTTTCAGTAGGAACCATCACAGACGTTAGTTGGAATTCAAGGCCTGCTGTGTCTTTTCTACTGGGCTTCAGGAGTGGGAAGTTCTGGGTGGCTTCCTTTTTAGGAGGTAGACAAACAGTCCAAGTTTGTTTCTTCTGTAGTAACCAGCACGACTTTACACTTGATTAGCTTTTCCAACGGTAATCTTACTTGCTAGTCACGAAACACCACTGGTGATATAGAGCACTACCATCAACATTTTACAAATGACATACCATACCCAACGGATGACTTGGAAGTTAAGAGTAAGGGCAGAGATAGGCCTGAAAGTAAAATAATACCATTGCAGAACAAATGCTCTTTCCATCACAGTTTTCCTTGATATTATAAATATGGTGGCATGAACGTTTTTACAGGCAAAACAGAACCATTTACTCAGAAGGAACTGAGGAGCTAAAGAACTGAGAAGCTGTGTACATGACAATGGCCCTACATGATGGCAATCGTGAAATTTTGGCCACCCATCCCATTAAACTTACAGTAAAGGGGAACCTCCACCCCCAATATTTGTTAGATAAAATAAAAAATTGCTTTTCAGAGTATTTAAAATTGTCACTTAGGAATAGCTGGAAAGTTTTTTGGTTTTTGGGTTTTTTTTTTTTTTTTTTTTTAGAGGTTTTTCTGGAATAGCTGGAAAGTTTTGCAGACATGAAAGTTGACCTATTGTCAGGCTTATCAGAACTGTAATATGTATCTGTCCACTTATTTTCAGGATGCAATTACAGGAAAACATGTGACTTCTTTTGCATTAATTGGTAATAGTATTAATAGTGACTTACTGCTGCACTAGAGGAGAAAATTAATTTAGTGTTCTTGGCTTGCTTTCTGTTTAACATAAAACTATGAACTTTTTCCAGTTATTTGCAAAAGTAGTTTCTAAATAAATTATTACAGTTAGAAAAGCTTGACTTATGGAAACAAATATGTATACTCAAATTTCAGTTTATTTTGAAAAGACACTAGTTTTTGAGTTATTTGAATATTTCACAATGATGTCAGCAATAGAACATGAGACTGTTTGGTCGATTATATACATCCGTATTTAATGCTTTCAATTCTTTTTCATTCATAAAGCAAAAAAATTTATGACATGTTTTAGAACATTTTTAATTGTGAAAAGTAACGTTGTTAGAATAGGCATTTAAATTTTCTTTTTCAAATTATTTCTGTATTTAATTTTATTATTTGTTTATTATTTATAATTATTTTTTACATTTGATCAAAGAGACAGAGCGAGAGAAGGGAAAAAACGAGAAGACAAGTGGCCAGGTCTGGAATTCCAGCGGAAGTGGGCCATGTGGGAGTCCAGCACCTTAATCATCATGCCACCTGCCGGCCCTGGCATTTAAATTTTCTTGTGCAGTGGTTTTGTCAAGTTACAGGTAGTTGTAATTTTATTACAAAATCAAACTACTTGCTACTAGGAATAATTCTTTTTGTGTTTATATCTTGGTAAATACATGAAATTTTAATTTAAAAGCCTTTTTCCTCTTTCACTAGTCCTCAAAAGATAAAAATGCCCATTTAAAACTCTGCAATTTTTAAATGGGGCAAAGACAATTATTTATAATAAGAAGTGATACCTGTATAATGATTTCCAAATGTTATCACAAATAAAATTGATTTCTGGAGCTTTAAAGCAATAAATGGAAAAAATTGAAATATATAAAGCTACCAAGAGACTTTATATGTAATCCTGTTTGGGACCAGTTAGTTTCAGTTGGGTACAATGGAATGTCCATATTAAAACAAAAATATGCATACATAAATACACATGCTTTTATCTCTCTTTTTTATATATAGGGACTTATATAAGTCAGACATAAATTAAACATCTAACGCAAATTCTGACTCTGGAAAACCAAATAAATTATGTAAATACTTTACACGTTGGGGGAGAAAATAGAAAGCTGTGATCTGAGTAAAACTTTTGGTCTCTGCAAATTAGACTGCTATGGAATGAATCAGATCCGCCCAGTGAATACATTTCTCCTGTGGAGTCCGGCTTCTTGAGACGCTTGATCTTGTCTTACTCCTCTGTACATGCCATGTCACCCTGGCAGTCCCGTATCGGAAACCGACTGTACCTGTTTGTCGAGTGAATAGGTTCCTTTTGGGAAATAACTCTATAATCACCACGTGGCTCTCCAGGACACCTCTCTGACAATTTGAGGACGTCTTAAAATCTAAGGTGTTCTGGTTTTAAAACCTCTGCGATTATAGGGACTACACAGGGGGTAGCTTGTTATCTTTAAGGTCATAACGTTCTAAAGAATAACACAACGGTCACACATTTTATTTTCTTCAAAAATGTCTGGAAAATTTAACAGATACATCTGTCTATATACGAATGTGGATCGTTTTCCTCCTATCTGTCCAGACTCCTATTTCTTGTTTATTGCAATGCCTCCTTATCGCTTATGTCTCATGGTTTATTTCAACAACCTGTCAGCAAAACTATTTACCTCTTAATTACAAGAATATCTTGTATTTCAAGGGTTTCTTTTACACTTAACATTTTCCTTTTGACATGTGTCTGATTTGCACACAAAGTAATTTTGCCTTATTTGACTAGTCTTAACTTGACAAGGAAGTAGGGAAGCCTGGTCAGCAATTTCCCTCGAAGCTTAGATATTAAAAACTGAAATCTTAGTGGAAGACATACCTTTTAAGACCTCAAAAGTTACTTTTTCTGATTAATAGAAGCTGTGAGGATATTAATCAGCATTTACATTTTTTTCATCCCTGGAAAATGATGCAGAAGGAATTATATGCAACTTTTATTTATTTTTGTTCACTAGACTTGGCAGTTGGTCCCAATTTGTTGTATGTTTAATTCTCACTTGCCTTATTAATCTGGCATCTTACATCTTAATAAGATAGAAGCATTTTTTATAAAATTATCAAGGAGATGATGTTTGTGTGTGTCCATGCACTTTGATTTTAACCAAGCAAAATATTCCACCATGCTTGGTTCCTATAGAGTGATCATTAGTCAAACCTTATAAAAATATGCTCTGGTCAGGACCAGCAGGTGGTGTAAATGGTTATGTCGCTGGACTCCCACGTGGTTGACCACAGACTCAAAGGCTTAAAACTCACGTGGGGTGTGTGTGTGTGCGTGTCCCAAATCCCAAGAGGAGAATGCAGGAGAAGGGATTGCAGTGTGGCCACCCCCCCAGGGGCATGATATCTCGCTTTCTCTCTCTGTCTCACTCTGTCTCACCATAAGCATACATGCCTTATGGCAAAGATCTCTCTCTAAAAAAAAGTTGAAAAAAATATATATATACATACTCTGGTCTCCTAAAATATAGACAGCTTATTTTGAAATAATATAAAAAGGTATGCAATTGGAATTGTATATCACTGAAAGATATGGAACTTACCAATGAATAATAACTGAATATTAATACTTCCTCCTCTTATAATAAAAATTTCAGGGGTCTGTCATATACCCTTGTACTAATTGGTCAAAACTGCTAAGTTGCAAGATTTTAGCCCCTTGGCACAATTCTGTCTGTTTGGTATTGAGGACTTCTGCCATTATGCATGTGTGAGCTGTTTGTCATTATCAACTACAAGGCTTACAGCACTGGTAAAGATCTGACAACATCTCACAGTTAGTCCTACTACGGAATTCCAAATGTTATGCTAGAAGGTGTGGAAGTGAGGTGCTCAGTTTTTCAGCTGAATAACCCAGAATACGTTTGTTAATCAGTATGTTCAGTGGACAGATGCCAGTTTATCCCTTTGGGCTTAGTATAATGATTACTCTGTCAATATGATGAATGTAAACACCTCCGTTAGAGTAGGATGGAAATTTCTTGGTTTTCCTCTGCCAGCTTCTAGGTATTTGGGTCTCTAAGCTTTCGCTATAAAATACAGGTTTTTTGAAGCAGAGTTTGACATTAAAATGCTGTTCCAGAGCTTACCCTTGGTAAGGAGACCTGCTTCACATAAAATACACCTTAAAAAGAATATGAATGGCAATCTGAAGGAATCCATCGTAGGTTAAAGGTAGAAAGTTTGAACTGAACTTTTTACCTGCAGTGAAATGGATGGAAAAAACTATAAAAAAAAATTTAATTCATTAATCTATGATTTGTCTGCTGTGTGCAGGTCTTAATGCAAACAAATATCAAACATTTCAGAGTGTATCTAGCTGTTAAATTTCTGATCATAAAATACTGACAGAATAAAAATACTACCAGACTTGGTGCCAGTCAAGCTTATGAAATCAGTTTAGAAACAGTTTATGTGAGACATCATCAAGCCTTTCTGGAAAATCCCCTAATGTGTAACTATTATAAGAACTGTAAGTTAAGAACTAGGAGTCCATAAGTCGTAAAAGGGATATGGCCCTATATTTGAAATGCTAGTTAATCCTTCATGACATTTAAAGGGTTCTCGTTTTCTGTGTTAGGATTATAGTGTATTAATGTGTTTTTTAAAATAATTATTTTATTTAACTTTATTTATTTATTTATTTTAATTTGACCAGAGAGGGACAGAGAGAGAGAGAGAGAGAGAGAAAGTGAGAGAAAGTGAAAAAGGAAGCCGCCAGGTCCAGGATGCAAACCACAGTCAGCCATGTGGGAGTCCAGCACCTTAAACCACCATGCCATCTGCCGGCCCCTATTAATGTGTTTTTAAATTAGAACGCCATTGCATTTTTATTATATGAAGAGTTTCATAAGAACTGGATTTTTAACACCATGTGATGGTTGTGCTGAGATTTAAGATTAGCTAAGATTAAAGGCTAATCTGAGTTATATATGCTGTAAAGAAAGTGACAAAAAAAAAAGTTTGGGAGTTGGAATCAAATCAATATAAGTGAGATAGGCATGAGAGCATTGAAGCCTGTCCCCTGTCCTTGAGAGGAGAGAGAAGAACATGAACACACACCTCGTCACTAAAGAGAGGACCAGTCACGAGCAGACAGTAGATTACTGCGAACTTGGAAGGGATTTCATGCTATGGTGGGGGAGCTTGTGCTGGATTCACAACCTTCGTTTACAAAGTTGGCAAGGATTTGAGGAACTATTCGATTCATTTTATATGATTTGAAGTTTGGGAAAGCTGAATGACTTATCTAAATTCATACATCACATTTTCAGCAGATTGAGAACAAGGAAACAGGACTGCTTCCATTATGCTTGTTCTAGGATAACAGGACATTAGTGAGGACTCAAAGAAGTTAAACCATCACATCAAAAGCCTACGTCAGCACTTGAATTTGGTGATGGTTGTTCAAATCCATTTAAGAGGGACTGGCCTCGTGGCCTGGTGGTTAAAGCAGCCGGATCTGACATGGTTGACTGCTCATTAGAGTTCCACCCTCAGGACTTGAGAAGCATGCAAGTGCATGGATGCCCAAAATCCTGAAAGGAGGACGGGCTGGAGAAGAGAAGGGATTGCGGTGGGACCGTTCAGCATGGGGCGTGCTTTATTCGCCCCCTCTCTCTCGCTCTTTCCTCTCTCTGGTGAGCCCATGTGCCCTCTAGGGAGGAAAAAAAACCATTTAAGAGAACAGAATGGCTGGGCTGGCAGGTGGTGTGGTGGTTAAGGCTGCTGGACTCCCACATGGCCGACCACTGTTCAAATCCTGGACCTGGCAGCTTGCTTTCTCACTCTCTCTCTCTCTTTCTTCCCCTCTCTAGTCAAATTAAAATAAATAAATCTAAATAAAATAATTTTAAAAAAAACAAAACAGAATGGAAGATAGGGGAAGTTAGAAAGAAGAATGTTGTAAAATTCCTAGTTAGTAGTAATGAGGAGTTGGAGGAAAATATTGGCAGTGAGTTGGAGAATCAGAGGGACGTTTGTGAACTATAGTGAGAAAGAGGACCAGGCACTTTAGGCTTCCACGTGAGTGCTCTCCTGATTTTCCCAGCTAATCGGGCCTAGTCCTTCATTGCTCATCCTTCAAGGGGTACAGGAAATGCAGCTTGTTCATGCATGGCACTTCACACCACGGCTAAAGAACAACAGCTACTCAGTATGTCGAATAAATAGCCCTAGAAGTTGTCTGTCTGTAGAGGATGGAAAACACAGAGAATCTGAAGTCACACGGAATCATGAGCCTAATAGCACGGCTTAACAGAAAGAGGAAGTGATGAAGAGTAAGATTTCTGAAATGCCGTAGTGAGGTAATGCCACATTGTACATGCATTTGAAAGGACAGTTACTATTGTTTAAGGAACAAAGGAGGGAGGACAGCAGAATAGATTGAATGGTGGACATATATGGGGAAACGACTAGGTATTACCCCTGGGGATGGGAAGAAAAAGTATGTAATCTTGGTTTTTGTTCAGAGTAAAATTCACCAGTTTCATCCAGTAATTAGAACTTCAGCAATGTACAAAAATGGTGTCTTTATAGTATAAGCTTTTAAATTAAATAGAAGCTTCCAGTGCAAACACTGCTACACACACCATTGGAGTAAGGCAGTCACGTTCTCGAACAAACTGGCAGAAAGACTTAATTCTCTTGCCATGTTTTATTCTTTTAGAGGCAAATATTGTCCTTTCAGTTTTGTTTGTATTTTTTATTGTTTTAATTGCTAGAGTGTGTGTGTGTTCACCAGATAAAAACAAAAATGGAGTGGGAGTGGAGAAAAGCGCCACCGTAGGGCACAGTTATGCTGCAAGTCTCCATTTCTCCATCCTGTCCGCATTTTCGGCACACATAGGCCTGTGCCTGGCGTGTTTTTCAAGCCTCCGGGACTCGAATTTGAACTGTGGTTGACCATATGGGATCCGACTCTCTTAACCACTGGGCGGTGGGGCTGACTCTGCCCTTTTGGGTTTTTAAAATAGCCTGATATTTTAGGAATGATCTCAAGAACCATTTTAGTCTCTATGAGGACCAGCAGTTAGCATAATGGCTATGTCACTGGACACCCATGTACTCAACCACGGTTCGAGTCCCAGACCCGGTAGCTTAAAACTCACGCCAGGCACGTGTGCGTGTGTGCCCAAGATCCAGAGAGGAAAATGGAGGAGAAGGGATTGTGATGTGGTCATCTCCCCTTGGGGGGTGATTTCTCACTTTCTGTCTCTCTGTCTCTGTCTGGCAAGCGCATGTGCCCTTCAGCAAAAACCTCTCCAAAAAGAGAAAGGAACCATTTTAGTCTCTAGAAATCCAATAACACCTTAAGGAAAAGAATGGAAGGAACTTTTCTTTGTTGTAGTGTTGGTTTTTTTGAGTTTTAGGATTTTATTTTTTATTTTTACCTATTTGCTCAAGAAACCCTTGCACTGGATTTTTCTTCTCCCCTTGCATCTCTGACTGCTCTGGTTTTTGCTCGCCCCCTTTTTGTAATCCCACCGCTTTCATCCCTGGTGGCTCCCGGAGCTTGGTTCTTGCCCCTCTCCCCATTCTGCTGCCCTCACAGATTCGACTCTGTGCGTTCCCTTAAGCCGCAGATTCCACTTTTACTTTCATGCTGACATCTCACCTGTATGCTTTTTTAGCACCTCAGACTAGACATTCCCTAAAGCAAACATTGATTTCTCTTCAAAAAGTTATACTTCCTTCCTGAGCACAGCACCGCCCTTCTCTGAATTTTACAGTTCCGAGAGCTCAAGGTCATCTTTCACTCTGCCCTCCTCGCCCGCCACGCTGTCTCCGGAATTCGCTATATTTGTTCCCATGTCCTCTGTTGGGAATATACTTCCCTACCTGATGTATCCTGGCCTCCCCCTTGAGGCCTAGCTTAAACTCCTCATGAAGTCTTGAGTTACACAGAAGAAGTTCTTCAGACTCCTGGCATTTTTATGTTAAGGCCTTATGTGCCATTTATCACATTCTCTCTCAGGTTTCTTATTTGTATTCTCTTCTGTATCTTTTTTTTCCTTTTCTTTTGTTTCATTTTTTTAGTTCTTTGCTATAGGATGCATGCACACACCAGAGAGAGACAGAGAAGGGGAAAGTGATAGATAACCCTCCAGGAAAGATGGTGATGCCACAGCCTCTTCTCCAGTCTCCTCTTGGAGTTTTGGGCACACACACATACACACACACGCCCAGTATGATTTCCGAGCTGCTGGTTCTGGGTCTCAAATCACACAGTCGACCATGTGGAATCCAGCATCTTAACCTCCTTGCTACCTGCAGGCCCTCGCCTTTATCTTCTTTTAAAAAAAAATAATTATTTTACTTATTTATTTATTAAATGTTTTAAAAATAATTACTTTATTTAAATTTATTTATTTAAATTTGACCAGAATGGGAGAGAGAGTGAGTGTGTGTGAGAGAGAGAGAAAGAAAGAGAGAGAAAGTGAGAAAGCAAGCTGCCAGGTCTGGGACTCAAACTGCAGTCAGCCATGTAGGAGTCCAGCGCTTTTAACCACCATGCCATTTGCCAGTCGCTATTTATTTTTTTAACGTGACCAGAGAGAGACAGAATGAAAGAGAGTGAGAAAGCGAAAAAGCAAGCTGCCAGGTCCAAGACTCAGGAACTCTGGTCAGCCATGCAGGAGTTCAGCGCCCTTAACCACCACACCACCTACTGGCTCCTCCTATATCTTTTTGTAGACTTTCCTCTTACTAAAATTTTTTGATTGCAAGACCTCCTCATTTTTCTTATTCCCAGATGACAGTAAGTGTTCCATCTTTATAGTTAGTGCTTAGCATGTTTGCTGGATGAATGAATAGATAAAAATGTCCATAATCTTTTGTCCCGGAACTGTTGATCAGAGATGCTGGGAGATCTCAGACTTACTGTCCCTTATAAGAAAATATTTGCATGATGGATAATGTTTTCATGGTTCACTCACTGAACAAACAATACTGTTTTAGGTGTCAAACTGGTTTGCAAACGCAAGACGTCGGCTTAAGAATACTGTTCGACAGCCAGATTTAAGCTGGGCTTTAAGAATAAAGTTATACAACAAGTACGTTCAAGGCAACGCTGAGCGGCTTAGTGTAAGCAGTGATGACTCGTGCTCCGAAGGTTTGTGAATATTTTTACTTTTCTTTCTTTGCTTGGCCTCAATTGCTATTTTTAAGGTTGGACCACAAAGCACGATGGTGCTCTCATGGTCTTTTTTTACTGCATGAGGTAACTTCATTTTTACAGTATTATAAATGACCAACAGAATGATGGCTGTTTCCTCTTGTTTATAGATTTATCGTGTGTCAGAATAACATTTTCTGTGCAATTCATTAAAATGAAAATGCCATAGGGAGAGATGACATAAATCCCTACTTTTTTTTTTGGCCAAAAAATTAATCTCAAATATCAAAGATCATTTTATGCACTTTAAATATTCTTCCTTCATATATACATATATTTTTTTTAATGATTAAATATAACAAGGGTGGTTGGGGGAGAGTACATCTAAGTACCATCTAGTGCTATTCCTTCCTCTGCAGATGGAGAAAACCCTCCAAGAGACCTCATGAACGAAGGGGGCTATCCTACCCCAGTCCACCATCCTGTGATTAAAAGTGAGAGCTCAGTAATGAAAACTGGAGCGAGGCCGGAGTCCCGGGCCAGTGAGGACTACGTGTCACCCCCAAAATACAAAAGCAGCTTGTTGAACCGTTACCTTAACGACTCTTTGAGACACGTCATGGCCACAAACACTGCCATGATGGGAAAAACAAGGCAGAGGAACCATTCGGGATCTTTTAGCTCCAATGAATTTGAAGAGGAACTGGTGTCTCCATCATCCTCAGAAACAGAAGGCAACTTCGTCTATCGCACAGGTAAGCCTGTGCTTTCTGTAGGAATGGCTGTGATACTTTAAGAAAGAATTAAATCTGCAACAGCGGGTTTTCTTTTGACAGGTATAAAGGTATCAGATTAATTTGTGCACTGCCCATAATTCAATTTGAAAGTATTGCTTTTGTTTTTAATTGCCATTTGGTAACATTTGTTGGCGGATGATGGTCTTACTGATACTGAAATTTAAAAAATATTAATAACGGTAAGAATTTGCATTCTTCATGGCAGTTTTAACCATACTGATAAAAATGTATAGAGGAGGTATATACTAACCTTTTTGAATAATTTATAATGAAGAAATGTGCTTAATGATAGCCCGTCATTCGAACACTTTGGATTCCATCTTTTCTCTTAAATACTTGGATTGCTACCTAGCGGTAGAATAATGCACACAAGTTAATGCGACTGCCAAGCTTTTGTGAAGAAAAGTGTAGCTCTGGCTTCCACTGCTTTGGAAGTTTTACTTTCATTTCTGAAAAGCACAGTAGGGCTGATAAATAGCTTTGAAAATTTTACTTTTATTCCAGGAATAATGGATCCATTTCTACCTGTCCAAAATATTCCGATGGAGTAGTAGGCTTGGTAAAATTTCTCAGTCTTTTTTTTTTTTTTTTTTGGACAGGTTTTTTGCTATAGGGCACATGTGCTCGCCACAAAGACAAGAGACAAAGAGATAGAAAGTGAGAAATCACCCCCTAGGGGGGATGCCGCAATCACTTCTCCTCCAGTCTCCTCTCGGGATCTTGGGCACGCACGCACACACGCCTGGCGTGAGTTTAAGCCACCGGGTCCAGGACTCACACTGTGGTCGGCTACATGGGAGTTCAGCAACATAGCCATTACGCTAACTGCTGGTCCCAAATTTCTGTCTTGACTTTAGTTGCCGGAGATTTGCCCTTAAGGAGTGCTTGAGCAGGTAGCTTCAGAACAAGGGAGATGTGTGACCTACATCTGGTGTTGCTAGAATGTGAGCCCTGAAAATGCCATTCTAAATGAGATTTAAAGTATGTAGAACAAGCTGGAAATAGCTTCAGAAAGTGTCTAGACTAGTCACATTATGTCACAGATAGAAAACACAGATCCAGAACATAGACTCGTTACTCCTCTCCAGGTCAGTACTGCAGCTGAGCCTGTACAAGAGCTAGCAGGAGCATTGCTACACTAGTCTACCATTATGTTGTTATACTTCCTAGCAGTCATTTATTGAGTAGTGGCAATATGCTAGGCCCTATGATAAATACTATACAAATGTTACTACATTTAGTCCCCATAATATCAGTGAGCTTGATATGTGAAAAATAGAACTTTATAAAAGAATCTCAATTTGGGGACCAGTAGATGGCAGAGTGGTTATGTCGCTGGACTCCCACATGGCTGGTCCTTATTCAAGTCCCAGACCTGGCAGCTTGAAACTCACACTGGGCATGTGAGTATACGTGCCCAAAATTTCAAGAGGAGAATGGAGGGGAAGGGATTGCAAAGTGGCCATTTCCCCTGGGAGGTGATTTCTTGCTTTCTGTCTCTGTTTGTCTCTCTTGTGAGGTATATAACAAAAATCTTTCTCTTAAAAAAATTAAAAAGAGTCTAAATCTGGTCTGTCTAATATACCTTTCAGACTATTTAACCAGAAATCTGATTTTTAAGTGTCTATAAATATGTACAAGAGGGAACCAGCAGTTAGCATAATGGTTATGTCGCTGGACTCCCACGTAGTCAACCACGGTTCACGTCCTGGACCCGGTGGCTTAAAACTCATACCAGGCGCGTATGCGTGCATGCTCAAGATCCCAAGAGGAGAATGGAGGAGAAAGGATTGCTGTGTGACCATCCCCCCTGGGGGGTGATTTCTCACTTTCTGTCTCTATGTCTCTCTCTGTCTGTCTGGCGAGTGCACACACTCTATAGCGAAAACCTCTCCAAAAAAAAAAAAAAAGGAAAAAAATATGTACAAGATATATAACCTGTGAAGATTCAGAGAAGATATGAAGACACCTGTGTTAATTAACATAGGGCATGTGAACTCACAGAGAGAGAGAGAGAAAGCAACCACAGTGGGAATGGGGCATGGTCACACCAAAATCCCTTCTCCATTTCTCCACCCTGTTGGGACTTGGGGCATATATGCATCTGTACGTGGTATATTTTTCAAGCTACTGGGTCAGGGATTCAAACTGTGCAGTCAGCCATATGGGAACTAACTCCCTTAACCACTAGGACATGGGGCTGGTCTGTTATTAAAGGCTTAAATTAGGGCCAGCAGGTGGTGTGGTGCTAAGGCACTGGATTCCCACATGGCCAACCACAGTTTGAGTCCTGGACCTGGCAACGTGAACATCATGCCAGGCACAAATGCATGTGTGTCCAAAATCCTATGAAAGAGAACAAAGGAGAAGGGATTGCCATATGACCATCACCCCTGGTGAGTGATTTCTCTCTTCCCCTCTCTCTGTCTCTCTCCAGTGAGTGCACATGACCTATGGCAGAAACCTGGGGGGAAAAGGGGCTTAAATCAACTCCATTTTCTGTTTGTGTCCCCAATCTAACAGTAAAAACAATTCCAAACACTCAGAAATACAAAAATAGTCTTGTAAGAAATAATTAAGTCTAAGAAGAAGTAAAAATTAAATGTTATTTAGCCAATAATGAAAGTGAAGAAACTGCATATTAATATCTGAATGATAAGACTAGAGCAGAATTTGAAGGTAATTCAGATTTTTATGAATGTTTATTTCAGAGAAAGGAAAAGAAATCAAATCACTCAAATGTAGATAACAGAAAAAAGAATAAAAGTAAAACAAGAAAAAGGTAAAATGGAAAGGTGAAAATTAAGTCAAGAATTGACTCTTTAAAAGCAGTAAAATTACACAAGAAAAAGTTGACACAGGGACCAGCAAATGGTCACATCACTAGACTCCCACATAGTTAACCATGGTTTAAGTCCCAGACCTGGTGGTATAAAACTCATGCTGGGTGCACGTGCATGCGTACCCAAAATCCTTAGAGAATGGAAGAGAAAGGATTGTGGCATGGCCATCTCCCCCTCAGAGGAGTAGGGGTTGTCATTTCTCTTTGTCTCTCCAGTGAGCACACACACCCTATAGCAAAAATCTCTTAAACAAAACAAAACTTGACACAAGTTAAAGTTAAAAATGACAAAAAAGATACAGCGACTATACATAGTTACTAAACAAAAAATAGGGTTGTTAATTATGGAATATTGTGTACAATTGTCTGACAATATATTGTATGTGAATGTGTATGTGAAATTAATTAGAATTTTCCACTGCAAAACACTGTAAGCTGATAGGTAAAGTTTAAAATCACCAGTAACTTAGGAAAAAGTAAGGTTTTTAATAAATCTAGTTGCCAAAACATGTGACTTGATAGATCCATTGGTTTCGTTTTAAAACTTTGGAAAATAGTTAATTTCCATGTTTTATACATTTTTGTGATACATATAAAAATATAGGAAAGGCCCAGCCATGGTAGTGCAGTCCTGCAGACGCTGCTACTTGACAGGCTGAAGCCACATGAGAAGCCCAAGTTTGGTTCCCAGTCCACCCTAAAAAGCTAGATTTGGTGGCATGTGCCCATAGTCCCAGGTACCCAAGTGGCTGAGTCAGGAGAATGAAGACAATGATACTCTAAAAAACAAATCAAAACCAAACAAAAATATATATAATATATATGGAACATCTCAGTTTTTAAAACTGTAAATGTTATCCTAATCACAAATCCGATTCAAATAGCAGAAAAGTCGGAATTTTTATTTATGACACTGACCATGAAATAGCATGAGAAACATTTATAATAGAACCTGTATTTAGTGAAAAACAACTCACACTTGAAGAAATACTGAATATCTGAATATAATCATGACAGTACCAAAGGGTATAGCCAAAAACAAGAGAGATTCTTTGAGAAAAATGAAATTGATTTTAATAAGGGAGGGTAATTGGTCATCTGTTACTTAATTTTTCCTCATAAATTTCTTTATGTTGCTGAGTAAAAACAAGGTCAGATGGCTATGCAGTTTACTCTTTGTGGTGAGTCCACTGAAAATGCATGTGCTTTTCATAGGTGACAAATTATAAAATCAGAAGGAATAACATGACTGTGTAGTCGGTGCTTTTCAGTTACATATCTTGGCCGTTTATTTTCATTAAAGCATTCCAAATGCTCTTGGGTGATATTATGGGCTATTTATTTGCCAAGTTCTATTTTTAAATAAAAGCTAATTTTTTTAGTTACGCCAGAAATGAGAAAGCAACCTAGACGCAGAAACTCCTGGGTTCTCATGCATATGCAAAAGCCTGAAAAGAACAGGCTGAAGTTCTTGCATTTACAGATGGTGAATTAAGAAGCCTGGTGGTCTAAGGCTAATCTGCTGGGTGTCAGACCAGAACAGGCAGTGGCTGTCTTCTGTGGGAACTGAGTGACAACACTGCAGCACTTGTGGCTGGGTGACCATGCTTGTTGAAGTAGCTGAACAGGGGACTTCGAGAAATACCTTCTGAAGAACTGCGATGGTTTTCTCTGGTGTACAGCCTTATTCTGAATCCCTTCAATTCCCTCTTGTTATAGTTCTTTCTTCTAAATAGAAATTTTCTAAGACCATTAACACATTCCAGTTTTAGAGTAGTGCAAAGATTTTCTACTTTCAGGTTTTTTTTTTTTTTAACACTTTTTAATACAATTTATTGGTTTATCTCTAAGAAATTTCATTCGTTTATCCAATCCATTTTTATGAGTTACTATATAATGATGCATTTCATTTTATGAAAGAGGTGTTCAGAAAGTTTATGGAAAATACATATTATGAAAAAACTATGTGTGGATTTTAACCTTTTTTTGTGCCAAAATAAATTTGTATTTTAATTCTATTTTTTTTCACTAACTTTTTGAACCTTCATACATGAAATCAAAAAAGCCAAATGAAAGTTGGTATGTGGAAGAATAACAGATCACTGATTTTTTTTTT